CCGCCATCTGCTCGGGCCCAGACGCGGGAGGGAGCGCCGCCGGCTTCTGAGGGCTCCCTCCTTCCCTCTCAGGGAGACGCGAAGGCGGCGAGGCGCTCAGGCCGATAGGGGAGAGCCGCTCGACGCGTCACACGGCGGCCCGCCGGCCGACAGCAGGTCTACCCAGCGGGCGGCCGACAGCAGCCACCAAAGGCCGCTCGCGTGCCACTGGGCTCCACCCCAAAGGCCGCCAACTGCCGAGGGACGCTGTCCTGGTTTAGGGCAAATTTGGGAGAAAACCTCCAATGGGGCTCCCCCCGGGAAGCAAACCCAGGTGGCCCTTTTCTCCCACCCCTCAACCGGTTCGGAAGAGATTTCTCTGAGAGAAGTGGAAAAATCCTGTTTATTTCACAGGCACAGCTCTACCCAGCACAAAAATTAATGATATCAAATTACAAAACCTCTCGCCATTCAGAAGAGATGACAAACTTCAGAGGGTCTCTTTCTGTGGGTGTTCGCTCTGTTATCAGTCCCTCTGGTGCTGGAAAATGCCGCTGCCCAAGCTGGGCTCTCGGTAGTCCACGGGTGCAAGCTCCCGGTGCTCCCCCGACTCCCCAGTCCAGAGCAGGTTCGATTCGTTTCAGAAAAAGGGAAAGAAAACAGTCCAGGAAGACCTCTCTGCTCCGGCTAGTTGGAAAGCCAAGGCGATCTGTGTCTTGTTGTCTGTCTGTGCTGTAGTCAAAACTCCCGATGTGGGGGGAGCAAGTACAGTCTGATAACAGGCTCAGTGCTTCTTTTCCACTCACTTTTAGATGGAATATTAAGAATACAAAATCTGTGTCTGGGTTAGGTGGACGAATGGGGATACAATTTAACATCATAATCAACCCAGGACACGGGGGGTCCCTCAATTTTTTTTTTTCTGGAGGTTCACCCCCTCCCCCAATATTTCCTCCATCCCCTTCCCCCCAAACTGAGGTGAGAAAATTTTTTTTTTTTTTTTCTGGTTTTTTTTTTATTTTTACCTTTTCCACTGCCCTTTTTTTTTTCTTTTTTCTTATTTTTATTTATTTACTCTTAATTTGTGGAGGCTGAGGTGCAGGAATTTTGGGGTGGGGTCACCTGGGGGGACAGGAAACGTTGGGGAGACCCCCTCCCCAAAAAAATGGAAAAAATCCCGAGAATTCTGGTGTTTGTCCCCCCACCCAAGGTGTGAAAAAATTTATGTTCTCAGATTTTTGGTGATTTTTGGGGAGAGAGTTGCAATTTTGGTGGAGGTTTCAGGAAGGCTTGCTGTTTTTTGGGGGGTTCTCCCAGGTTTTGAGGTGGAATTGGAGAAATTTGGGGCTTTGGGGGGAAATTTTGGATTTTGGGGCGAAACTCTGAAGGTCCTGGGGGGAATTTTGGGGTTTTAGGGCAAGAATTTTAGGATTTTTTTCTAACATTTGGGTGTTTGGGGAGGAAATGTGGGGCTTTGGGGAGAACTTTGGGGTTTTTAGGGAGAGGATTTGGGGTTTGGGGAAAAAAATTGGGATTTGGGGGGGAAAATTTGGTAGTTTTGGGGGGAAATTCAGGGGTCCTGGCAGAGTTCTGATTTTGGGAAGGGGATTTGGGGAGGATTTATTGTGTTTTGGGGGAATTTCCATTGATAGGGAGGGGTCTCAATCCCAGTGAGGAGGAGCATTTTAGGGAGGCCTGAATTTGGGGAGGGGTCTCAGGGAGGATTCCTGATTTTGGGGTGAGATTTGGGGGATTTTCCAGCGATGGGGATGTGTCTTGGGGGTGGGATTTGGGGAGGGGTCTCATCGGGGCACCATCCTGGGCTGGAAGCAGGGGAGATGTTGGGAGTGGAATTTGGGTAGCGTAATAAATGGAAATGATTCATGCTAACTAAATTGTAACTATTTGGAAAGTTATTATTAGAAGCACTCAAGGGAATTGGAGTTACAAGGCAGATGTACCCCTCTACAGATGTTACATGTTAAAATTAAGGTACATGATGTAGTTTTGAGGTGATGTCCCAAGACAAAATCAACCTTGAGATGGAAAAAACTGGAACAACTTTAGGCACAGGGCCTGAAAATTATGAAGTGTAAGACTAATTAGTGGAACACAATGCTCACTTACATAACACAACACTTAGTACACATGCAAAACCTGTAAGGTTATCTAGAGGACAATGAGGATGAGTGTAAGCCTTCGTCCAAAATACCACCGAAAGGAGACTGAAGACCCCCTAGCAACAAGTGAGGCTTGCTCCATGAAGAATAGTGATGTAAAATTAAAGAATCAAAAATAGGAGGAGACTTAGGGGAAACATGAATGAATATGTAGAAGCATACAGTATATAAGTTTAGTTTGAATTACTTTGTTTTGGCATGTGAGGCAGGGTGAGAAGCCCTGCCCATACCCCGGTCAGTTTTGCTTATGCTTTAATCATACTCAATTACTGGCAAATTATATTCACATATATATATATATGAAGATATTCACTAAATTGTACTCTTTTACTTACTGAATTGTTTTCCTTTTATACCAAATTTCTATTCAATCCACCAAATAGTATTATTTTATTAAATTGTATCCTTGTATTCAATTCACTAAATTGTATAATTTTTTCCCTTGTTATTTAATTGCTGTTAACTCAATAGTTAAATAGTTGTCTGATTTTAATTTCATTTACAACAGCACCAAGAAGAAAAGGGGCTTACTGAGAGCAAGCAAATTTAATCCTCTTCCAGGACACAAATTTAGAGGACAAAAAATTAAACAGCCCCACAGCATCTGTCCAGCTTCCCAGTGAGAAGGGTTGGAACTCTCTGCCCCTCAACTCTTCCTGTTTGGGGTTAGGTGTCCTTTATTTTTAGTTCTGGATTGCCCATGGAATTTTTACCCATTAGTTTCGGGGACAACCTAACTGTGGGTACTTGGTGGGTGCTTGACAAAGAGTTTAGCCGGGCCCAGGGGAGGAAGGGGGCAGGAAAAAATGGAGTGTGGGGACAGTTTGGTGGGCTTTCTTCAGCTTCGGAGCAGGACACTTTGGGCGCAGAGCTGCTGCGGTGGTGAGAAGGGAATTTCGCCATCACCCAGACGGAGCTGCTGCTTCTTCTCCTTCTCCCCTCTTTGTTGGTGGCCTCGCACCCCCTGTCCTGCCGGGACGTGTGGCAGTGCCAGGCACCACCGCGGAGCTGCTGATCCACCTCAGCCACCGGCCCAGGATCTCAGCTCATCCCTGCTGTTCCAGCCGACTGTTCCTCAGAGCCCTGCAGGAGCACCGGGACTGCCCAGCAGCTTTACAAAGCTTTACAAAGGTAAAGCTGGGATCTGAGCTGTGCCCACCAAACCAACAGAGCCAGCCTCCCTTCAGGGAGAGAAGCCATGGCCTCAGTTATAGCCCCGAGTGTCTCCTGTGCCCCAGAGAATGGCCATGGCTGTAAATATGTGTTTGGCTGCAGCACAGGGCCAGGGTGAAGCTTGGCAGCCTCATCAGAGCCCACGGCCGTGGCCCTTCCCTGCCGGGGCCCTCACCAGGCCCGGCCTGGCCCGGCCCGGCCCGAGCAGCCCGGACTGGCCTCAAGGGATGGGCTCTGCCTGCCCACTGTGCCCACAGGCCAGGCCCAAGGGCTCGCAAGAGGCTTCCTCCCAGCTCTGCAAAACCTCAGCCAAGAGTGTCCCCTTTACTGTGCTCAGAAGAGTGAAAAACCCTCTCAATTTAACCCTGCTGCACTCCTCATGAGGGATCCCTGCACACCTCAGGAGAGAGCCCAAATTAGCCCTGGGTGTCTCATGAGGTGCAGGCCCAGGTGATGCCACTGAAGGAAATGTGCCCTCACAGCCCAGGGACGCTCAGCACGGGCTCCCCCAGCCCCTCAGGGCCCCACTGCTGGTCACGGCAGCCCCTGCCTGGCTCCTGCCTGCCCACACCATGGGCACACCCGGCTGCTCCCGGACATGGAGCTCAGCAGGGGCTGGTGCTGTGCGGGCTTTGCTGGTAGTACCAGCCGGACACTGGGGTGACAGCTCCATCTCTTTATTTATAAGAAAAAACATGGGCCAGCCCCTGCTCTGCTGCACAGGGGCTGCCCAATTTCAGTCCTGGTCAGGGACCAGGGCCAGGGGGCTCAGGGGCAGAGGGTCTCGCTTGGGAGGTGTGGGTCTTGAGAAGCCCTCAAGACGGGGATGCAGATGCAACTTGGCACATGGGGACAGATGTGAAGAACGGGGATGACAGGTCAGCTTCTCAGTGACCAAAGTCTTTCGCCAGTCTTCTGAAGCTGCAGAGGCACTCCTACAGAGAGAGGAGGTGGCTGAGGCCCCCAGCTGCCGCTGGCACACAGGGACCCTCCTGCACAGCAGGGCCCAGACTGGCCAAGGCTCCCCAGCACGGCTGGAGCTGCTGGCACAGCTTGGCCCAGCTGGACAGCTGCCCCTCAAGGCTCCGGCAAGCAGGGGATGGCTCTGGGCAGGGTCCCTGGCCAGGAGAGACCCCCAGAGAACCTCTGCCTTTCAAGGGCAATCGTGTCCCCACTCTTTCTCTTGCCCACCTTGCTTTGCCTCTGCCCGCTGCTCCTGGGGCTGCTCTTGGCCAGGCAGCCTCAGTGGCAGCCAGCACTGGCTGCAGCCCCAGCAGGCTCCCCAGGACAAGGCCCAGCAATTAAGAGGCCAATGAAAGGCCTGGGCAGCAGCAGAACTCTCGGCAGAGTTACTTGGGCAACCAAGGACTAGCCACAAGTCCACAGCGGCCTCACTGGGAATGTTTCCCGACTATGAGCAGCCTTTCAAGAAGCTGCTTGAGACCGAGATCAGCAAAACACTCACCGTTTTCTCTTCTGGCAATACCAGATTCCGGCACAGCACATCATCAGGAAAAGTGCTCCACCAGCCACAATGGCCATTAACTTAATCAAACACTGTGTTCCCCAGCAAAAAACTCTTCTCATGCTTCTCCAGATATTGTTAGCTTGTTTGGTGGTACCAGCTGCATCTGTGGGAGCAATGGGCAGCGTGAGCCTGTGCTGTGCTCCACTGCTGAGCTGGCAGCACGCTGGATATGGCCAGGACGTTCTCTGTTTCCCCCAGAGCTGGGGCCTGCAGGCACCTTGCCACCCCTTGGCACAAGACTGCTCAACCCCCTGAGCTTGAATGGCACAATTTCTCTGTGCTGTGCTGGTCTTCTCCAGGCAATACTTGCCAAAGACATGGATAAGGATCAGGAAAATTCCCAGGGTTTTGAAAATGCTCCAGGGCCACTCCTCTTCCAAACAGACCCTAAACCTGAAGTAGCCCGAGACCGGAAATTTTCAGGGGATCTCAAGGTGTGTGTGGCCCATGGTGCAGTTTGGGCTCCCTGACAGCTGATGCCAAATGCCTTCCTGCAGAGGCTGGGGAGAAGCTGCAGCCAGGCCAGGCTGGGATACAGCCCTGCAGGCCAGGAAAGCAGCAGTGGGGCAGTGAGGCTGCCATGGATCCCTTCCTGCTGTGCCAGGCACAGTGTGTCCAGATGTGCAGAGAAAGCCCCTGGCTGCTGAGTCTCAGGAGAAGGCTGAGGGACATGGACTCACCACGGCGTCTCTCCAGATCATTCAGGATTATGTCCAGATATTTGAGTTCCTCCATTGCTACATTACTATCTCCTATAGGTTTTTTCTTCTTCCTCAGGGGATCATAATATAAAGTATTTCCACTTCCCAGGAATGGATCCTACACAACCTGTGCTCAGCCTGTGGGGTCAGCAGGGATGCAGCACTCACCCCAGTGATGTGAGCCAGGCTTGCTTGCAGAATCCAGCTCAGGATCTGGGAGAATCCTTGCTGCAGACACACCTGTAACTCAACAGCCACAGAAGCTTCCGTCATCTCTGCTGCACAGGCAGCACTGAGCCACAGGAGCAGTGAGAGGATCATGCAGAGCTAGGGCACACACGTGCACAGCTCTGTCCTGGCACCTGCAGCGATGCCACCCTGGCCGAGCCTTGGGCTCTGAGCTGGCAGATCTCCCAGGGGGAAAGGCCTTGACCTACTCTCATAATCTTCCTCATCATCAGGTTCAGTAACTGATATGGATTGGGAATCCAGATCATCCTCATCATCAGGTTCATCTGCAAAGAAAGTCAGGACAGAACAGCTCCCATGACACTGCTGAAGATTCTTCTTCAGGCTGGAGTGGCAGTGAGTGCACCTGGGTGACTGGTGCCCTCCAAGGCACTCCCTCATCTCTACCTTACACTCTGGAGCAGGAGCAGGGGGACCACGTGCCTGCAGTGGCCCCACACTGGGATGGAAGGAGCCCCTTGCATGGCAGTCAGGGAAGAAAGGACTCCCTGGAGTTGCCAGCAGCTCTGAACTGAGCCCCAGGCAGGGCCAGGGCTTGGCAGTGGTAGCTGGAGCAGCTCAGGCTCTCTGGGGCTGACAAAGGAGCCACACAAGGCACAGCCCCGGGGCACAGCCCTGGGCCTGGCCCCTTCCCTCTCTGCTCTTCTTTGTGGCTGCACAGAGCACACGGAAGGAGACACTGGCATTGCACATGGGAAGAAAATAGACAGCTAAATGCTCCTTCCTCCCACTGACAGCAATGCTGTGGGATCACTCAGGGCTCCAGAAGGGAGCAGGGCAAGGTTTCCAGAATCCATCAACCTTCAGACTCTTAAGGGAAATGGCACATGAGTGAGCTCTTCCCACCTTGACACTGATTAGTCTGTGCAGAAAGGGACATTGAGAACTTGCCTTCAGCATCTGGCAAGGTCTTCAAACCACCATCTACCAACACTTCCACATAATCCATGTCACGATCCCAATCTGGAAGGGAGCACAGATCAGAACCATTCCATGGTGTGCTGGGATCCCCTTCTGCCTTAGGGAACTGGGCACTGCAAGGGGGTCAGGGAAGGCCGTGGGATATGTATGGATGTCAATGGACACAGCCAAAGCTGCAAAGGGGTCTGGGGAGCTCTGGGCTGGCTCTGGTCACTCTTAACACCCTTTCCATGCCCTGTGCAACATCCCTGAAAGGGAGGCACTGGAAAGCAGCAGAGATGTACAGCTCAAGCCTCAGCAGAGCTCAGGCCCAGAAGCACAGCAATTACCTCCTGGGACTGTGCCTGGCATGGCCTCCCTTCCTGCAGCAGAGGCTGCCCATGGGCCACTGCTTTCTCCGGGAAATGCCGCCTTCAGCACAGCCTTTCGGTTCATCTCTGGAGAAAGGAAGAGCCACAGCTGGATCAGGTGGGGCTGTTCCCCAACAGAAAGGTGACATCTTCAAAAGGCAATACGTGTCAAAGTCATGGATAAGGATCAGGAGAAAGGCCAGGTTATTGGGACTGGCCAGGGCCCTCCCTCCTCCAAACAGCCATACACCTGATCTACCCTGAGACTGGGAAATTGCAGGGGATCTCAGGGTGTGCATGGCCTGTGCTGCAGTTTGGGCTCCCTGACAGCTGATGCCAAATGTCTTCCTGCAGAGGCTGGGGAGAAGCTGCAGCCAAGCCAGGCTGAGAAACAGCCCTGCAGGCCAGAAAAGCAGCACTGGAGCAGCGAGGCTGCCATGGATCCCTTCCTGCTGTGCTACGCGCGGCATGTCCAGATGTGCAGAGAAAGCCCCCGGCTGCTGAGTCTCAAGAGTAGGCTGAGGGACATGGACCCACCATGGCGTCTCTCCGGTTCACTCAGCATCTTGTCCATGCGTTTGGATGTCTCCAGTGACTTACTATCTCCTGCAGGTTTATTCCGCCCACTAGGAGGACCTTAACAAAAAGTATTTCCATTTCAGATGAATGGATCCCACAGAACCAGGGCTCAGCCTGTGGGGTCAGCAGGGACACACCACTCACCCCTGTGATGTGAGCTGGGCTTGCGTGCAGCAACCAGAAAAGGAGCTTGAAACATCTTCGCTGCAGACACACCTGCAACTCAACAGCCACAGAAGTTTCTGTCACCTGGTTCCTGCCAGGTTGTCAATGATTATTCCTTGTTGGGACAGTGAGAACATACCTGCATGGGGCTCCAGAGGCAGAAAATCTTCATGAAGCCAAGCTGCCTGAGAAGCCTTCCTACCATTCTTGTCTAGAAAGGAGCACAGATCAGAACCATTCCATGGTGTGCTGGGACCCCCTTCTGCTTTAGGGAACTGGGCACTGCAAGGGGTTTGGGTAAGGCTGTGGGAGCCAGATGTCAGTGGACATGGCCAAAGCTGCAGATGGGCTTGGGGAGCTCTGGGCTGGCTTTGGTCACTCTCCACCTTCTTTGCAGGCCCTGTGAAGCATCCCTGGAGGGGCAGTGGGACCAGCCCAGGGCCCAGGGGCTCTCACTGACACAAAGGAAACCTTCCCTAAAGACCTGGGCCAATCTGTAGGAGGGAGTGCCACAGATATCCCAGCCTCCCTCCTGCCCTCCTGCCTTCCCTCCTTCAGCTGGGACAGCTCCCCCAGCCCAAGGGGACAGAGCCGGGCCTTCTCAGGACACACTGGAGCTTTACCCTCCCCCTCGGCCCTTTCCCCACCATGGGCATCTCTTGCAGTCGCTGCCAGTTTTCAGGACATGTCTCCCCTGGAGGGACCCCAGCAAGACTGCTCAGTAGCCAAGTGCCCTGAGCCTGCTCAGGATAATTCCTCTGCACTGAGCTCACACAGCCAAACAGCAGAGATGGCAGCTCAAGCCTCAGCAGAGCTCAGGCCCAGAAGCACAGCAATTACCTCCTGGGACTGTGCCTGGCATGGCCTCCCTTCCTGCAGCAGAGGCTGCCCATGGGCCACTGCTTTCTCCGGGAAACGCTGCCTTCAGCACAGCCTTTCGGTTCATCTCTGGAGAAAGGAAGAGCCACAGCTGGATCAGGTGGGGCTGTTCCCCAACAGGAAGGTGACATCTTCAAAAGGCAATATGTGTCAAAGTCATGGATAAGGTTCAGGAAGCCATCAAAACTTTGGAGCCAGGCCAGGGCCCTCCCTCCTCCAAAGAGCTGCCATTCCAGATCTACCCTGAGACTGGGAAATTGCAGGGGATCTCAGGGTGTGCATGGCCTGTGCTGCAGTTTGGGCTCCCTGTCAGCTGATGCCAAATGCCTTCCTGCAGAGGCTGGGGAGAAGCTGCAGCCAGGCCAGGCTGAGAAACAGCCTTGCAGGGCTTAAAAGCAGCAGCAGGGCAGTGAGGCTGCCATGGATCCCTTCCTGCTGTGATGGATATGGTATGTCCAGATGTGCAGACAAAGCCCCCAGCTGCTGAGTCTCAAGAGAAGGCTGAGGGACATGGACCCACCATGGCGTCTCTCCAGTTCACTCAGCCTCTTGTCTCCTGTAGATTTATTCCTCCCTCTTGGAGTACCTTAACAGAAAGTATTTCCATTTCAGATGAATGGATCCCACAGAACCAGGGCTCAGCCTGTGGGGTCAGCAGGGACACACCACTCACCCCTGTGATGTGAGCTGGGCTTGCGTGCAGCAACCAGAAAAGGAGCTTGAAACATCTTCGCTGCAGACACACCTGCAACTCAACAGCCACAGAAGTTTCTGTCACCTGGTTCCTGCCAGGTTGTCAATGATTATTCCTTGTTGGGACAGTGAGAACATACCTGCATGGGGCTCCAGAGGCAGAAAATCTTCATGAAGCCAAGCTGCCTGAGAAGCCTTCCTACCATTCTTGTCTAGAAAGGAGCACAGATCAGAACCATTCCATGGTGTGCTGGGACCCCCTTCTGCTTTAGGGAACTGGGCACTGCAAGGGGTTTGGGTAAGGCTGTGGGAGCCAGATGTCAGTGGACATGGCCAAAGCTGCAGATGGGCTTGGGGAGCTCTGGGCTGGCTCTGGTCATTCTTCACCCTCTTTGCAGCCCTTGTGCAACATCTCTGGATGGGCAGTGGGACAAGCCCAGGGCCCCTGAGGCCTCTCCCTCCCATAGAGGAATCCCTCCCTAAGCCCTGGGGTCCCCAACACTTCCCAGGGAGAAGAGAGCACTTTCCCGGGAAAGGGGACCGAGGCCGCGGCTCACCTGCTCGCCCTGCTCGCCATGGAGCAGCCTGGGCAGCCCTGTCAGGCAGGGCCACTGCCAGGAGGAGCAGGAGGAGGAGGCGCAGAGCAAAGGCCATGGTGCCTTGCCCACTGCCAGTCCTGCAGCTCTTGCTGCCACCACTGTCCTGACACCGCTGTCCCAATGTCAGCACCGCTGCTGCCGCCGCCGCTGCTGCCACAACAGTCGTGGTCAAGGACAGACTGCTCAGTCCTTGTGGTGCTGTGCAACCACAGGGCTCTGGGACCTCTGTGATCTCAGAGCCTGCTGTCACCTCAGCCTGCTGTCACCCCACAGGCTGCTGTGACCTCATGGCCAGGGTGGAATTGTGTGGGGAGTGGGATCTCCCTTCTTCACTAGGGAGCTCATTCTGCCCAGCAGCTCTGTCCAAGGGCTATGACAGGGTCCCAGCCCAGCTGATCTCACAGGCTGGGGGATGAAGGGATGGAGAGTAGCCCTGCCGAGAAGGACTTGTGGCTGCTGCAAGGAGAGAGGCTGGACCATGAGCCAGCCATGTGCCTCCAAAGGAGGGTGCCCAGCATCTTGAAGGAGGTGATTCCACCACCCCTCTTCTCTGGTGCGAGCCCACCTGGAGTACTGCATCCACCTCTGGGTGCCCAACACAGGAAGGACATGGTCCTGTTGGAGCTAATCCAGAGGAGGGACAAAATACTCTGAGGGCTGGAGCCTCTCTGCTTTGGAGACAGGCTGGGATAGCTGGGGGTGTTCAGCCTGGAAGAGGGAAGGTTCCACGGAGACCTGATTGCTACCTTTCAGTACTTTAAGGGGGCTTGTGAAAAAGACAGGACAGAATTTTTAGTAGAGCCTGTTGTGACAAGACTGAGGGGGAATGTTTTCAATCTAAAAGACAGTAGATTCAGACTGGACATAAGAAAGACCTTTTTTACACAGTGGGTTTTGAAACCCTGGCACAGGTTGCCCAGAGAGGTGGGCATCCATCCCTGCTGACATTCAAGCTCATGCTCTGAGCAACCTGATCCAAAGGTGTCCCTGCTCTCTGCAGGGCACTGGACTAGATGGCCTTTGAATGTCCCTTCCTAGCCAAGCCATTCTGTGCTGCTGTGCACCAGCAGAGCAGTGCTGGAATAATGCTGAGGTGATGATGCTGGCACCTGTGTTTTGGTAGTTGTGCCATTTAGCTGTTGGCCAAGAGAGGATTGATGAGCTGCACAGTGAAGTCTGCAAAGAACAGTGTGCTCAAGGAGAAACAGGAGAGGAACACGGCTTCCAGTTCAGATAAATGCCAGCATTTTGCTGCCCATTCCTTGTTAAGAAATAAAGAAATGTCCTGAAGATCCCTTCAATGTGGGTGTATCACTATTGGGTGTATCAGTACTTGTGTTCTGTAAAACAGGTGAGTTGTTACAGCTTCTTGCATTGCTCCATGTCTACTTTCTTCCAAATAAAGGCAGATTTTGTTCATTCTTGAGTGAGACATATTAATCTGTTGACAAACAAATTCTTCTTGCTATTCACACAATGTTGATTTGCTGTAATCAGATTGTAATTAAGACCTACCTCTCACTAGCCTCTTTAATTAAGGCTGAAGGATTGTGAGGCAAAGTGTTGTGTAATTTGTCCTGGAGAGAATTTTTCTCTAATTCAATGACATTTGAAGACAGGTGTATCCTGCCATACTTCTGGCATACTAGAAATGAAAAAAACATCTTTTGAAACAGAATTTTTTGCTTTCTTCCTCCTCTTCCTCCCAGGAATTTTTATCCTTGAAGTCTGAGCTCTTCAGCTGCCTCACAAACATTGTTTTAATTCACACAGGAGTCTATGCAGTGAGCAACAAATCAGGACTCTGGCTGTGAAGCTTGAAGCAATGTAGGTTTAGAGCACCAAAAATAACAATCTATTTCCCAGGCTAACCCAAGCATTTCCCAAATAATTCTGCCTATCCTCAGGGATGTTTCCAGAAGTATCATAGTAAAAGCTGGGAGTGGGGAGAGAGAATGTCAACAAAATTAAAAATACAGCTTTCTGAGATCTTTTTATTCCTATAACAAGAGTTAAATTTTTTTTATATATGGAAAATCAACTAAGAAGTGAACAGGAAATTCTCAAAATAATTGCTTGGGGAATGAATAAACCTAAATAAAAATAAGTTTACATGTGGATTTGTAAGAAAGCAAACATACTAAGAGAAAAAACAGACCTACAAAAACTAAAAATAAAAAGGCTTTCTTTCATCTGTTGCAATAAAAAAAATAATTGAAAATAATCATATCCTCAAGATCATATACAGGACCCTCCTGGTAGTGGGAATAAAGAAAGGAAACTGTAGTGTGCAATTCACAAAGGTAACCTGGATCTTATTGTTGGATTTATTGCAAAATTTCTGAAAATTTCTAACTGAAAAGCAAAGGGGCTTGCCAGACCATGTCCGGACAATTAGAGCAGACTGACAGATGTTTCTGGGACCAATGGCAGAAAAAACCAGCAGCACACAATTACTGGGACAATCTGTTCCCTGGCTGTAGACTTTTTGAGAGTTTTTTTTTTCTGCTTGGGCTGGGGGAGCTGTCACGAAGCAGGGAGGGTCAGGGGTGGCAGTGGCTGCTCAGGGGTGGGTTTGGCCCCTATCCCTGGAAGGAGCCACTGCCCAAGCAGCTGTGCTGTCCCCAGGCTCTGCTCTCGGCCTTCTGGGCTTTGTTGGGGGGCACAGCCTGTGCCAAGGAACAGCAAGGTGCCTGCAGGCCCCAGCTCTGGGGGAAACAGAGAACGTCCTGGCCATATCCAGCGTGCTGCCAGCTCAGCAGTGGAGCACAGCACAGGCTCACGCTGCCCATTGCTCCCACAGATGCAGCTGGTACCACAAGACATGCCCAGAATATTTGGGAAAGCATGAGAAGAGTTTTTTGCTGGGGAACACAGTGTTTGATTAAGTTAATGGCCATTGTGGCTGGTGGAGCACTTTTCCTGATGATGTGCTGTGCCGGAATCTGGTATTGCCAGAAGAGAAAACGGTGAGTGTTTTGCTGATCTCGGTCTCAAGCAGCTTCTTGAAAGGCTGCTCATAGTCGGGAAACATTCCCAGTGAGGCCGCTGTGGACTTGTGGCTAGTCCTTGGTTGCCCAAATAACTCTGCCGAGAGTTCTGCTGCTGCCCAGGCCTTTCATTGGCCTCTTCACCGCAGGTCCTTGTCTTGGGGAGCCCGCTGGGGCTGCAGCCAGTGCTGGCTGCCACTGAGGCTGCCTGGCCAAGAGCAGCCCCAGGAGCAGCAGGCAGAGGCAAAGCAAGGTGGGCAGGAGAAAGAGCGGGGACAAGATTGCCCTTGAAAGGCAGAGGTTCTCTGGGGCTCTCTCCTGGCCAGGGACCCTGCCCAGAGCCATCCCCTGCTCTCCAGGACCTGGAGGGCATCAGTAAAATTAATCCACAAACACCAGAGGTTTATGTCCAAAAAGGAGACAAAGGAGTCCTTTTACTTTATTCGAATAAAGGGAGAAGCCATGGGTCATTCTCCTGAGATCTCTCAAATATTTAGAGGACGAACCCTCATTTTTATCCTAATTTCCCAGCCACATCTCCCTCTCTCTTTCCCCATTGGATGAGGGACTTGAGAGGCACAGACTTCCTGGAGTGCCTGATACCCAAGATTCCCCTCTAATGTATAACCCTCCCTCTTAATTTCTAATTCTTAGGAATTTATGGTATTTCCCCATTGTTTCTTTTATCTTTCAACATCCAATTTCATTTATCAGCAAACCTACAGTTTGTTTGTAAAGGCAAATATCTTTTTTCCATTCATCAATCACTGGAATCTTTCCCATTGTTTCTTTTATCTCTCAGTGCTGGTTTTATTTACCTGCAGACCCACAGCTTGCTTGTAAAGACAAATCTGTCATTCCTCTCAATCATTTTATATTTTTTTAATAATTGTCTTAATAAACTTTAGTTATTATTGATTCATTGACTTAATTTCCTGTTCCTGGGGTTTTTTTTGGTTTTGCAATTATTTGCAGTGACATCAATTTCTGTCCTTTTGTAGCTATTCCTAGATTAGTAGGGATGGGTACTACCTGCTTCCTTTTCATCACATGTTGAAAAAGTTGTACAAAGCAAGGGATCATTCATTCTGAAAAGATTAGATTAGATTAGATTAGATTAGATTAGATTAGATTAGATTAGATTGCTACAGCACAAGGGAAACATTTGTTAAACCCATAGTTTACTAGGTAATCATGAAAACACGTCTTATTCTCATTCGTTCCATGTTTAGACTGGCACATGAGTTAAATTTCTTACTGCTTTTGTAATTTGTTTCACCACCTTTTATCTATCATATAATTTGCCACACACTCTCCCTTCTTCTGCTGATAGTATTTGCATTTCTAAGCTCTCACATGAGGTTTCTACCTGCAGTTATATTTTAGATCTGCTCTGTTAGATCTGGATCAGAACCTATTACAAAGAGTTCAAGCTTTGTTTTGGTGTTCCCATTTCCACTGAGAGTCACGGACAACATGTGTCCTGCTTGTGGAATTGTTTTGGGGGCAGCTTAAAAATAAGGAGTTAAAAAAACCCTTCTCTTCCCCCACTGCTTTATAGCATTCAAAATCCTTCTAGTTATTCTGGGAGGAACACCTTGCTTAGCTACTATTAGTGAGCTTAACATGCATTTGATTCTATTTGCCTTGATATCTGAAACAATTATAAGGAGGGTAGTTGGGGGTCTAATAATCTAAACCTGAAGTCTGGTAACAAACACTTTTTCCCATGTATGTGCTTCTTGTTCTATTTAGACAATAAATGCTTTTTTTCAGAAGAATGAAGCTGCTATGGACTTCCTTCTTCATCTCAAAATGTTGTTTATTACAGACCTAACTCACTGTTTAGCTTTGACTGGGCTGCCCACTCACAGCCAGTTTTCAGATCTTCCTGGCCTTCCACAGAAACAACAATTTATAAGGTTAAAGGTTTTTGCTACTTCTTCTCTTAAGGTTAAAAATTACTTTTCTACTTTTGGCTTCAACTTCAACTGGCTGACAATATCAAGGTAAGATTATTAAGGCAAACATTTTAATGGTGTGATTTAATTTCTTAATTTAATTTTTACTTTCATGTTGTCTTTGTACTACCTGTGGCGAGTGAAGGCACAGAAAGAGCTTAACATAAATAAAACAATGACAGCAAGGATTGACCTCTAATGACTAGAGATTTGGGAGAAGTGATGCCCACACAAACTATTTCAGCAGTCAGTCTGTGAAAATTTGGATCCATCCAAGGATTGCTCCCACACAAAATGTTCCAGGACAGAAGGTCTTTACATCCCCTGGGCAGCCTCTCATCTACCCCTGAAACACTGGTTACCTGATATTGCACTATATTGGGAACAGCAAAAGTACAGCACAGACTCTGGCTTGGTTGCACAAGACAGCAAGTTTTATTCTTCCAGATCTTTTATAGACAGTTCTGAGAAGGTCTGAAAAGGTAAAACTCTCATTGGTCATGAAACTAACACATCACCATCATTGGACAGTTAGGAACAATACCTCTTGACCGTTTCTTGCAAGTAAACAACAAGGCGACAACACCTGACAAGGTTGTTTGCCTTCTCTAAGGCCTGTTTGAATTCCTCCTTATGATTTCTCATGCCAGAGTAAGAACCTTGTGAGACTTAGTTTCACACAGGCTCAAGCTAATCCCTGAAGCCTAAAAATCTCTTATTTGACCATGGTCAGTTCCCATACCCTGAGGCATCATGGACCCAGTGAGACAGAAAATCTCACCCTTGTGTGGCCAGTCCAGACCCACCTGAGACACTTTAATCCTGGCAGCCCGATCCCCCTGTCCATTATTTAGCTGCTCTTCAGTGCCCAACTCTTGAGTATGTGAGCACTCACAGGAGGGATTTACACAGCCAACTTCTACACCTGGGCAGTGATGTCTTGCCCCAAACCCAGCAGCCCCAATGGGTTTCCCTCTTTACTTCCAACTGTCCTTCTTCCATCATTCCAGCCACCTCCACAGAGCATTTGCCACCATCCATGAGTCAGTACAGAGGCAGAGTGTGGGCCACTTCTCTTATTCAGCCATACCCAAAGCCAGCTAGATGGCTTTAAGCTTTAAGGTCTGTAATCTGACTGGATCCACCTTGTCCTTCAGTGGCTTCCACAAACTGTCATGTAGGACTCTATACAGCAGCTTTTGATGTATCCCTACAATAAGGCAAGAATCATCACTAAAGAGAGAGTGACACTTCTCATTTTCTGGTAGCCAGAGCCTCCTTAGCATGTGCCACCTTCACCTCCTCCTCTTCTGATGATAATCTGAAATTTTTGCCTTTGGGACCGCTTGTAATGACTTCCAAAAGGATGTTCCCTTTGAACATCCAGCCCAGCACTGGCAGTTGGGTGCCAGTGGAAGCTATGTTTTGGTGCCAATCACTTCTAAAACAGATGGAACCTCCTCATAAGCTGCCAGTATTTGTAGTGTGGTGTAGGACTATAGCTGGTTTCTGATCCTTTGTATCCTAGACTCAAGAACCATAGGGTGGTCCTTTAACTTCCCCAGGTCCCTTCTGACAGAGGCTCCAGAATGGACCATTTTCCCTGGCTGCAGCGTGGAGCACATTTTCCACATCCTGTCCTTTTCCTGATTGGTTCAACAGATACTATAGGAACAATCTCCTCTTCAATTTGTTCAAAAGCTTGTTGCTGTTAAGGACCCCACTTGAAATCAATCTTCTTCCATGTCACATAATAGAGAGGGTTTACAATCTGACTGTAACTTCTCCAAAATACCACAGTGCCAGGAAAGCCTGTGTTTCCTTCCTGTTGGTCAGTGGGAATATGGCTGCTATTTTGTTGACCACAACCACTGGAATCTGACAGCATCCATCTTGCTATTTTACTTCTAAAAACTTAACCTCCTCCAAGGCAGGTCCCTTGATTTTACTCTGTTTTATGGCAAAACCAGCCTTCAGGAGGATCTGGATATCTTATCTCCTTTCTCAAAACTTCCTCTGCTGTGGCACCACTCATACTGAAGTTCCAACATGTCCAGCATGGCAACACTCAGTGATGGTGTGAGTTCATCTAGGCCATGACAGTCCATTGTCAGTGTCCACTCTCCACAGGACTCAGGCAGAGGCCATGCAGGGCTACTGAAGGGTGAGTGAGTCTTGCTGAGCACACCCAGCTCTCCAGTTCATGGATCAGCTCATGGATGGGGTCCTGAATTCCCAGTCGGTGCCACGCTGCCAACAGGACACTTGTGCTGGCCATCAGTACCTGCTGTTCTTCAACCCTCAACAGTCCCACAGCAGAAGGGTCCTCTGAAAGACCAAGGGACTCAAGCAAGGGACTCAACTATCTTAATTTCTGCTGTCTCCACAGAAGCTCTCGCAAAGCCCAATGATGTCCTTTCGGGTCCTTGAAATACCTCTCCTGAGGTGATCTATGCCAAGGATACAAGGAGCCTCTAGGCCAGTGACAATGGAGTTTTTCTGCCACTCATGCCCAATCAGGAGCACTTCAGCTTCCAGTACAGCCCCTGTTGGTATCCCCCTGTCATCCCAGAAACAGAGCTGGATTCTGCATGATGGTGATAGTAAAAGGTTTTAAAATCATAGAAAATTTGGGGACTTAGAAAGAAAGTTAGGCTTGGCAAGCCCTGGGAAAAGTAGGCCCTGGGAAATGTTAGACCTTGTGCTTGCTAAAGATCATGTGAAACTGCACCTGTATAATCAATATATGATAAATGATACAATTGTTAGATGTGATTAGATATAATTATTGTTTAAAGAACATGAGAAATAATGTTAGAGGGTTGAGGGGGATCACGAGAAATTCATGCTTGGGTAAAAACAATACATACAATAGAACAATGTAAGTTTAATAATTAATATGTAAGTTGTATAACGATAGAGAAAAAAATATGTTCAGTTCAAAACCAAGAGGGGTCAGATTTGGGTATGTGTACCCCTGACACCCAGAGCTCTTAATAAAGCACCTTCATATAATCATTCCTGATTATGAGTGTTCCTGAACGCTAACAGAACCAGCCGAAAACCCTGAACTGCAACACAATGAGCCCGTACCCAGCAGGTGATTTGTAGGGGGTACACCATCTGAACCAGGGTCAAAAAACTGCCTCTCCCCCAAAGATAAATTTCACAAAGCTAAACACCATCTAAATACCTCATAACCCTCGAAATGGCATTACTATTCCCCAAATACAGCTGGGGACAGGGGTCTCACCTGAACCTCAAAATTATAAAACACCTGATGGGGGTCAAAGAACTGAAAAAAAAGTACCTCCCTTCAGTGTGGGATGCTCCTGCATCCCAAAATACTGCCCAAATACCCACATACACTCCCCAAACTACCCAAATACAGGTGAGTGTGGGGGTCTCACATGAGACTTGTAGATGAGCAGGGTGATGTGGGTGATGCTGTACATGCTCATGTACAAAAAGAGCTGGATAGAGCTCCCCAGTCTGATCTGGCCCCTGAGAGTCCAAACCTTAAGGGTGCCCCATAGAGACCCCCAAGCATACCTCACAGACATCCTCCAAACGCTGTGTAGGGACCCCTGACTGCCCCATAGTGACCCACAGCTACCCCCGTGCCACCCAGCCACATCCCTATACCCCCCGTGGTACCTGTGATGGAAAAGCACTTGCCCAGCAGGATGAGCATGAGAAGGAAAATGAACAAGCTGACGGAGGGGGAGCAGCTGGCATGGGGACATGGGGCGGGCTGGGCACCCCCCTTCATCACACCTCCCTTCATCACCCTTATACCTCCTGTACTCTCCCAAGCACCTCATCACCTCCCATGACTACAAAGTGCCCCTGTGCCCCCCCATAACCCCTATACTTCCCCAAACCCACACAGAACCCCCAGTCCCACCAAATCTCAATATGCCCCTCAGACCTCGACACCTCCCAGTCTCTGAAGATCCCCCCAGTCCCAGTAGAACTTTCCCAGACTCCAGTGCTCTCCAGTCCCCGCAGCTGCCCCCGGCCCTCACAAATCTGCCCATAGCCCCCCCAAGCTCCCCCTTCACGCTCCATGCTGGCAGCCACCATGAGCATCTTGTAGGTGGTGTGGAGCAGCTGCCATCCCTAGACCAGGTCTGGGGGGACTGGGGGGTGAGCCCAGGATCTCTCAAAGCACCACCTCCCCCCAGGCCCCCTCTAAGCTCAGATTTCCCCCCAGCCACTCACTGATGAATAATGAGAAGATGACAATGAAGATGAGGAGGAAGGTGATGTCTGTCTCCAGGATGCCTGGGGAACGTGGGGGAGTGGGGTGAGAGGAGGTTCACCCCATGAAGACCCAATAACCACCAGGGTGTCCACAGATGCCCCCTGCATTGCAGCCCCACCATCAATCCCCATGTACCCCAACCCCTTCAGTTTCCTCAGGCCTCAATAACCTCCAATATGTCTCCCAATACTGATGCACCCCAATCCTTCCAACCCCTCAACCCCCAAAAAAGTCCTCCAGACCCTCATATACGTCCCCAATTCAATGCACCCCCAATCCCTGCAGCCCTCCCAGACCACCATAACTCCCAATATACCCTCAGACCCTGATGTACACCAATCCCTTCAGCCCCTCCAGCCCCTGCAGACCCCACGGACCCCAATAAGCCCCCTCAGACCCCCATAACTCCCAAGATACCCCCCGATCTCGATGCACGCCAGTCTCCCTCCCATTGCCTTTCCCCCAGCGGCCGCGGCCGCACGGAATTCATCAGCCGAGAGGTGCCGCGTCCGGAAGGAATCCCCGTTGCTCAGCGCCATCTCGTACTCCGGCTCCAGCCCATGGCTCTGGGGAGGCCGGGGGCCTGCCGTGGGGGGGAGACGGGGGTGCTCCCCCCGCCTTTGCTGAGGGCTACGCACTACCAGCGCTCGTGCACGGAGCGGAAGCTGCGGCCGCTGCACAGCCCAGTCCCTGCAGCTCCCCCCGGCCCTCCCCCCAATAATTCACCCAGTCCCTGCAGCCCCCCAAATCTCCGAGCCCGCTT